TCGGAAGATAAATTTTCAAGAATTGGCATACTGAAAAACAAAGAAACTTTTTAAGGTAGAAGCTATATGCATGAAAAATATACTTAAATTTAGGTAGCTTAAAACTTGTCAGTAGTCATTAGATCAATTCTCTTCCTTTAATCAGAATTTACATTTCATTTCTGTAGTACAAACTATGTTAACTATAAATTATACATTGGCCACAATAGCTTGACCTAGCATTTAAAATCCAGCGAAACAGGAAAATCAATTACTAAGCTGGAAGGCAAGAGAGGAATCAGCAAGTGGTGTGGTAATTTTGTTGTTGCCTGGAAGATCTCCATTTTCTAGGATTGCACACATCCCTACATAAGGGCCTTTGTTCCCAGCTTCACAAACTTCTCCAGAGACTCAAATGCATCTGTTTGCAATACCACTGAGTGTTGCCCAAAGAAAAATTATTAATGTTTGCACTTCTTGGAGTTATATCAAACTTATGACTTGCAGTTTTCCTGAAATCACATCAGATGGTGCTACAGAAAGCTAAATTTTTCATAAATATACTATTTTACCATCTTCTGCACAGCATGTTTAGCAGCTCATTAATCTGCATGAGCAAGGATTAAATACCCAGCCCTTGCTGTGAACATCACTATTGTGTGCACTGTGATCACAGCTGTTACCAGGAAGCAACTATCTGTCAAAATACTGCGGCTCCCCCAAAATAAATAATGCCATTGTGTCACACACAAAAAAGCTATATTGCCTAAAGATTGTGTGCTTTTATACATCATTTCTAACCACAAATTAATTTAAAATATAGTTTGAAAGTTATTCTAAGCAAGGATTTATGAAAGAAAGACTTGGAGTTTGTTTCTTTGGTACGAGCCAGATTAAAAATCTGGTATCTACTAAAATAAGTGGATGTACAAACCATATCTAATCAGTACCCCAGTCAACTGTAATGCTGCATGCACTGAAAATGAGGAAGGAGAAAGAGAAGAAACCTTCAAAATATTCACGTCTTATAAAAAAATCTGGAACTTTAAATTTAAATTAATGTCTATATTTTGAACACTGAGGGAAAAGTGACATTCACTGTAATAATACCTAAGTATCGAACTTTAATGGATGAAATCAATGGAAGGGAAAAAAATATTGTATAGATACTTACAATGTGTAAGAGCTTTAGTACATCCACAAACCTAGCAAAAACAAGAAAAGGCAAATAATTACATTTGAAATACATAATTAAAATAAATTGAGGAGGTGTCACATTTAGAAGCAACACTTACACTTTCTCTGAGCTCATGATCTCCTTGGCAATATGGTAAACTTTTGTTTTCTTTCCAGCTGCCTTATTCTGCAAACAAAATACAAGTTATACTATGCATACCTACTAAAACTGTAGTAAAGATAATTTCAGCCTAGTAGTTTCTCAACTTCAATATAGCTAGTCACTAAGTATTTTCAATAAAAGTATTTTATACTGCTTGGAAATGTCCTGGCTCTCCAAGATCCATGTGAAAGTCAGTTTAGCTTGTAGCCGGGAATAATATTAGCTATAAATTAGGTTTCATATAGCTATCAGTGTTCCTAATTAATTACTACAGGAAGCACTGAAGCATATAATGAAGAAGCCCTAAAAAGTGATAGCTATTTATTACTGAAAATAGTAAAATATGAATAATGTACAGAATTCACTCTTTTTTTCCTGATTAATATAGCAACCTTAGTATATGCAGAAGAGTTAAATGGCTTTCAGGAACATCTTACAACAAACAGACATTCTGCAGAAGATGAACAGAGAGTAATATCACACAAAACAGAAAAAAAAAACATTTTGAAAGTCTATTAAAAAAAGTTACTGGATTCATGTTCGCCTGTGTAGCGACTACACTGCAAAACGACCAAATTTTGATCCTTGTAAGCTGAGGCCCTGCGTACACGTTGCTGGCTTTTGTTCATGCACATGGACAGCTTGCACAGATCAGCGCTGCTGCTCGTCACATAGACGGAGCAGGTAGAGCAACGCAAAAGGGGACAGCGGGCAGGATGCAAATATGTTTTTACACCAGTGTAATTCCATATGTAATTTCCCTCAGATAAATAAAACCTCTCTCTATAACAGCACTTATGGTTAACCACACGCTTCTCAGCTGCCAGCTGGCGCTCTATTATATATTTAGGCTTTCATTTCCACGGGCTCCAAAGAAAGAGCATGGATGAGGACTCGGACATCGCAAGGCACCTCACACACATGCACTGGAAATCCGAGCGAGGTCGTGGTGAACGTGGCGGCGTGCTGCAGGCACCGAGCAGTGCCTTCCGCTGCAGGCAGCAGCGGCACCGCGCGCACGCCTTGGTTGGAGAAGCAACATTCTTCTCCAAATCAATAAGTAATTCCCAAGTGCTAGAAGTCAATCTGTGAAACCTATGACATTCCTAGGATGACTCTGATAATGTTGTTAAATTAATTGAAATTTTAGAAGGAATCAATTTAATTTTTAATTTAGTAATTCAGCATTGCATCAATTACATGGAAAAGATGAGACAGATTTTATATACTATATATACAGCTGGGATTTTGTCTCCAAAACACTCATCTTCATGCCTTAATGCCTTGTTAGAAAGCACAGCTGATATACCACAATGCCAAACAATTATCAAAGGAACTATCGCCGCCTGTTTTCAACCTTATTTGAGGGGCTTTTCACAAACCAGCTGGCACTGAAAAGGCCACTTTGTATTTGTTCAGTCAAAGACACTCTGAGAATAAAACAGTCTAATCTGGAAACTGAAAGGATATAAACTGGGCTTTCTGCCTCTACACACTGTATAGGAAGGAATGTTTTAACTCCTTTAATGGATAAAAAGCATCAAAACAGCCAGATGCCCGTGGCAAGACTGAACAAAACCAGCTGACCACCAAGGCAGAGATGGTTTCATTTTCTTCCGCAGCTGCAGAAGCATAAGGAAGTTTTCAGCAGGGCTGGATCCCTGCTAATCTCCCGCTGCCAGCTCCACGTGCCGGCTGCAGGAAGCTGAACAGCAGATGCCTCACAGTAACTTCTGAGTTACTTGGTGGCCAACGCACGTTCCAGCAAAGCTGAGCAGCTTCCTAGGGGATGTCTTCCCAAAAAACAGTCACGAGAGATCGTGAAGGACAACTCTAGAGACACATAAGATAATGTTAGCTCAGATGCAGATACTATTCTGGTTCTTTTCACTGAAACAAGCTTGTCTCTCAGCTCGCTTTCCCTTCCCCAATTTATTCCTCTTGGAAAATTTGATTAAATGAATCTCTGTTTCAGCATGCTATCAAGAAATGCACGTCTGATACAGCAGCATCAAGTCCCCCTCCATCTTTGCGAAGTCTCATTGCTACCTTTAAAAAAAAAAGAATGAAATAAAGAACATGAATATATCTGAGGTAATACTCCGAGATCAAGGGAACGTTCTTTATCTGGGATGACGAAGTGCTCAAAGATGCTAGGACTATTACTGAGGAGAGGAAAAGACTTTACAGACCTCACAATTTCCAAGGCTGTACACCCTTAGGATTTAAGCAAACAGTAGTTCCTGAAGAGTAGCCTCGAACCTGAAGTCCTATCTAGAGCAAAATGCAAAACAAAATTCTATCTCCCTGCTCCCAGTTTGAGAAAGGTAAGGAAAAAAAAAAAAAGGAGAGAGAGGGAGAAATAAGATTAAAATGGGACAAATTATTTCAATCCAGCAAACTCAGAAAGCAGCAGAAGGTCAGATCTTGGCTGTAATAGCTGGGTCCTTCACCTCTCCAAGGGCCACAGAGGAGGCCCTATAACCCTCAGGCTTCACATGCACGTTAACTGTGCTGCCTCAGTATCAACGCAGCAAATAAGGAACTGAAACACTGAAAGGCAGGATGAGCCCTGTGTGTATTCTGCCCTTCTGAAAAGGAAGAATGAAAAACTGGTTAACAGTCATCTGCATCCTCTGTGTCAAGCAGAGAATTGGCAGGCTTATGAGGAGAATATTTGAAGGCAGGAAAGCTGTCCGCAGAGATGGAAGTGGTTGTTGGAACAGAGCCTTCACTTCGTGCAGCCAAAATCCCCCACGAAACAGGACAATACGATCAAAGCTACAACTACCAAGTAATTTTTCAGAGGGATCTCTTCAGACTTTGCAACAGTCATCTAGCCCCTTCACTTGGGCTTTGCCAATGCTGACAAATGAGTTAAATTCAGATGTTCACTGCGCAAGAGACATGGGGCATACTGGGATCAGTGAGGAGACAGCCTCATTTCAGAGCATTTCCAAGTTTGTTTCAAACCAAAATCTCTAAATATAAATCTGTGCATGTAACTTTGTATGAAAAGGATTTGGTGGGTTGGTCTACAACTTCACAGCTCAGCAAAAAATTAAGAACGAATGTGTCAGGCAACACATGTTCTCTAGAGCCATATTTCTAAGTTTAATTTGTTGGTGTCCAGCTAGTGTAGACATATTAAAACTTTAGGAAGTAAAACAGAAATTACAAGAAAGGGAAAAAAAAAAGTACAGGAAGTTACTTTGATTCAATGCCTCTTATTCAAAAACAAACCAACTTTTTTTTGTCATTGTTATTGTTTTGTTTTCTAAACAAAGCAGCATTAGAGTAAGAAACAATTTAAAAAAAAAACAAAACAACACCTGTTTATCTTCCTGAGGATCCAGCTCCCCTTTGCTGGAATCAGAATTTGTGTCATCATCTTCATCAGAACTATTCATGATATCTTCTTCATCTGACTGAAGATCCCCCATTACCACACTAGGATGATCATGGTGCTCTTCTAATGTCCTGTAAGGAAAACACAGTTGACAAATACAGTAACTTTATTTAAATAAAGAGCTTTTATATAAAGAGTTTACCTGCATCACTACTGAGATAAAAATTTGGTTACTCTGTTCCCTTATTACGTTGTGAATGTGCAGCACATTTCCATCACACGCTGAAGGATTTACAAAAGGATCCGAGACTTTTTGCTCTCCTTTCTCTCATAACATCAGGACATGTTCCAGACATGGTACGTAGATTGGAGGGTTTCTGCCTGAAATCTTAGATTCTTGTATATGCATATATACATAGACACACACAAGGTTGTTTATCAAATCATAAGCTAAAAAACTACATCAGGGATGACAATGTTAGAACTGTTTTGCCTAGTCCATTCTCAACTCTTAAAAACATGGAACATTTTGTGATTAAAAGCCCCCCCATCCCATGCAAGGGATGGGCCCCTTCCAGGTATCTGTCAAAGCTATGAAAAGCAATCTTGCTCTACAAGTGCAGCATGATTACAGAGATCCCTCTTTTCGTTAGCTTTAGACACATCTGCAACTAAAATTTCATGAGACAGGCACACAAACTTCTTCCTCTAACTAGCCTTGACACCTTTAGTGGAGATCTAAGAAATGCATTTCTAGAAGAAAATAAAGGAGAAAGAGTAGGGAAAAATAATGACAAAAAGAAAGGCACTAGAGAAAACAGTTTTGAAAACTTTTGATGAAGTCACATAGAAACACAGCAAATGCTTGGGCTCCTACCTTCAGTCGTGGGAACATCTGATAATTCCTAGTTACAATAAAGCAGTGTCTAAATCCATAAAAAAGATATGCCAAAGCCTAAAAAGATGCTGAGATCCCACAGGCTTGTTGTGATACAGGAAACAAAAGTGATTAGCCACCCTACAAAACAAAACACAAATCCAGAAAACCGTCCCCCAACCTCTCTTCGCACAAATCTCACTGTACTGGTCAAAACCTAATTTTGTGCAGCAGCTTAACATCTGTCAGGGCTAGATGCTTCTTTGCAAAAATAAGCTGGGCCTCCCAGTGTAAAGTACCACTTAACTTGTATTTTACCAGCTTGAAATTACAAGAAAGCAGTTTGGGGGAGAAATTCTTGAGACTCACTACCTCTAAAGGCCACAGTCACTAGCAAGAAAATATGCTCATGGGGACACCATGGAAAGGGACTGCCAGGAGCCTCTTCCCAAACATAAGAATTAAAGGCTACCAACTGCATGAGGATGCTCGGGTAGCCACGGTGAGGTGTCAAGCATTCATTGCTCAATGTAGAATTAAAACAAAACAAAAACCCACCTATGCGCCCCCTGAAAACACACATACAATCCCCACCACCCAGGCAACAAATGCTGATCACCAGTGGAATATAT